ACAAATTATGGATACTTGGTAACATCGTTACATTGTAAACCAAAATGTACAAAAATCCGTTAATCCGTGGCTGTGTGATATTTCTCATGCCCCAGTATTCTCTAAATTGTCGTACTCCGAGCTTGCTGGAGGATTATCGTCTTCCGCTTCAGACATATCTTGACTCAAGTTGATCTTGTACATCTTTTTGGAACGTTCATAAATTATATGAACATTTGAAATCCCTGTGAAAATATTTGGAATGTCTACTCTTTCATATGATCTCTCGGAAGTTTCCATTCTCTGTATTTCTTGATAATCGTTGATTATATTTTCCGATTGTTTTTTCGAATAATAATTTCTTGTTATGGCAAAAGAAATGAATGCTGATAACAAGATTAAACTTACTATGCTGATAACTAGGATTACCATTCCGTGTACCGAAATACGAAACCATGCATTTTTTGACAGATACGAATTTACAGTATAAGTGGATGATGAAAATGTTGCATTCCTGTACCATGACACTGAAATTGAAATTGATAATGAATAAACTTTTTATGGAATAGGGCGTCTTTAAGTGTCAGTATTGATTGGTATAAAAATTTTGTTAATGATTTACCCTACCTGAAAATCCCATTTCTGTGGTTTCTCTTATTGTCACATGTGTACTTTTAGCTGTAATTATATAAAAAAAAAATGAACATATTTGTTTTTTAATGTTTAAGAAAATCATGAAGACTCAGTAATTAAATTGGATTAATATCTCACCATTCTTAAAGGAAACGCTGCCACATCCAAATCTAAAATCGCATTGAGAAATAGAACACGAGCATTTTTCTATGCAAAGTCTTCCATAAAATGGATGTTTACAGGGAATGTCACAGAAAAGTCCAACATATCCATCTTGGCACTCTGTAGCATTAAAAGTACAAGAAATCATTTAGATATTTTTAGTTTTCCTACAACTAAGGCAGACAAAACATTTGAATACACCTACTTGGTTAACATCAGAATGAAAAAAAAATCTCTTTTGAAAATAACTAGCATGTATATTTTTGGAAGATAGATACCCTTTGTGTACAGGCAGATATGATTTAAGATTTGTATGTGAAAAAAAAGAAGAAAAATTGTGGCAATTTCCCTTAAGACTTATTACCAGCGCATCTTCCTAGGGATTCATTCCAAATTGTACCGGCGCAACATCCATATTCCCTGTAGAAAAAAGAGAACGAAAGTTTCAAGTTATTCTAAATGAATTGAATGCAAAAATCATTGCACAACAAATAACTGGAAATTATAATAAGCATATTATATATCAAACATCAAAACTCTTAGCAAAAAGTATTTATAATCTTCCGGCATACATTTAATTTGTTTGAAACTCTGCACGTTAAAAGTACTGCTGAAAAGATAAAAAAGAGGAAACATTTCATGGGGGTTTAAATGTCAGAAACCAATGGTATGAATCAAAATAAAGCATTCATCTCATAATATCTAAAATTAATTACAAAAGTTAGATAAACAAAATATAGATAATGTCAATTATGATTACAGACAATAAATTGTTAAGGTTCCTAGTTTTTTTTTTTTTTATCATTCATGTAAAATATAATTTTCACACAATTGATTTTCAAAAGGAATTCAGACTTATTCCCCTATTATTAAAATGCAAACAATTTCAGCAAACAGAAATTGCCTAAGTTGGCAGTTGTTTGAAATAGTGATAGTCATTTATTCAAGTGATGGTTACGCTTTCCGTAAATGAGTCAATGAGCATTGGCGTAAAAAAAAATCTTTAAAAACCCTTTCAAAGCACATTTCCAAAGTTAATGATATATAAATAATTGAAACAATTTAATCAGCGTATATAAAAATGTAAAAATATTCAACCGATTGATTTAGATTTTTGTTATTTTTGTTTTAAGAGTTTTAATTTTTAAAATCTGGATAGAAAAACACATACGATTTATCTGTGCATGGTCCCATTTGACAGCTTACTCCGAGGATTGCTAAAATGAATAATAAAACAATCGCCATCGTTGATCAGGGACTATGTCGAACAAACTGATTTTGTAGTTTAACGTTCAAAAGATGTGAAATTGCCTTCACATAAAAATTTGATTCTGTTTCCGTAATTGAAAACAAATGTATTTAAAACTAGATGCGAGTGGGTCTTCCGTCCGATTTTTGATCAGATGAGATAATAATTTGACAGAGATTCTTTTTTTTTTTTTTTTTTTTTTTTTTTTTTTACCCCTATTTTATTTAAGCTTGAACCTCTCGTGATTTTAAAAACTTTTTGTTCAACAACTATTGAAAAAGACTTCTTCGTTTATATTCAAAAGAAACATTTAGGGGCTGGCCCTTCAACACCTAAATGGGGATATTTAGCAAAAATTGAAAGTTCACATATTGTTCAGAACATTATTTTGAACATCTTTTATTCAATATTGCTTCTCAAAATATTTCCCCCTTTTGAGATATAAAGCGTCAAAGATTTTGCACTCTGACCCCTTATGGTCTCTAATAATGGAACATATGATGTAAATATCATAATATATAGTTGTAAATTGATGAGATAAACATTTTTGCTTCAGTAATGCATTACAAAATATTAATCGTTAAAAGGTTATTGATTAATGACTTTTGGCCCCTCTCAACCCCTATTTTGAGGCGCCAGCCCTTTTTTCTTCAAACAACTTGAAAGCTCTCATGATTTTAAACACTTTTTGTTCAACAGCTATTCAGAAATTCTTTTTCGTTTCCGAGAAATTTGTATAAGAAATATTTAGGGGCTGGTCCTTCAAATCCCTAATGGGGATGTTTAGCAAACAATAAAAGGTTGCATATTGTTCAGAACATTATTTTGAATATCTTTTGTTCAGTACTGCTTATCAAAATATTCCCCACTTTTGAGATATAAAGTGTGAAAGATTTTGCATTCTGGCCCCTTATGGCCCCTAATTATGTAACATATGATGTGAATATCATAATATATAGTTGTAAATTGTTGAAATAAACATTTTTGCTTCAGTACTGCATTACAAAATATTAATCGTTAAAGGGTTATTGATTAAAGACTTTTGGCCCCTCTCAACCCCTATTTTAAGGGGCCAGTCCCTTTTTCTTCATACCACTTCAAAGCTCTCATGATTTTAAACATTTTTTCGTTCAACAACTATTTACAAATTCTTTTTCGTTTTTGAGATATTTGCATTTGAAATATTTAGGGGCTGGCCCTTCAACTCCTTAAAGGGGACGTTTAGCAAAAAATAAAAGGTTGCATATTGTTAAGAACATTATTTTGAACATCTTTTGTTCAGTATTGCTTATCAAAATATTTCCAACTTTTGAGATATAAAGCGTGAAAGATTTTGCATTCTGGCCCCTTATGGCCCCTAATTATGCAATATATGACATTAATATTATAATATGTAGTTGTAGATTGTTAAGATGAACATTTTTGCTTCAGTAATGTATACCAAAATATTGATTGTTAAGGAGTTATCGATTAAATAGTTTTGGCCCCTCTTGGCCCCTAATATGATGAGTCAGCCCTTTTTTCTTGATATAATGCTAAAGATCTTGTCATTCTGCACAAATTTTGTTTAGTATGTTTTAACAAAATAATTATACTTTAAAAGATATGATACAAAATCTAGTCCATAATTTGTAATACTTAAAATTAATTACGTATTCATTATATTGACCTTGTAATCAAATATAACTTATCATAGTGTCGTATTTATGCCGACTTGTTTCATACCAATTGTTTGGCCTTTTATATATACCGAATTTGACTAAAGAATGTTCCGTTTACCTGAATTATACACAGAAGGTACGGCGGGTTTTCCAGGTCAACAGGAAGTGCTTACTCTTCTTAGGTACATGATCCCACCTGGAATATCCAGGACTCTGTGTTTTATGCCCTTTCACATATCTGTATTGTTTATCGATTTTTCACAAATCTATAACCGGTCGTCATCTTTACCTTTTTCCTTGTTGCACTTTTGAATAAATATAATCCTCGGAATGATCTTTAAAATACTTCTTTATCCAAGAAAATTTATGGGAAAAATTGTTAGCAGAAATTATTTAATAGAATGTAGAATCGCGTTCATTCATATAATGTGTTCAATATACAAGTTACATGCATGTGTCTTGGAAAGAGTAGGAGAGGAGTTGGGGTTCTCTGCAGCTCTTTCTATGATTGTAAAAGTGTTTTTTTTTTTTTTTTTTTTTTTTTTTTTTTTTTGCAATCTTGTCAGAAAAATAAGAAACAATCCAGATTAAAAAAAAATTTAGAAGAGCATAGAATTTTTGCAACTATTTGAGCCTTATCTAAACATATACAAAAGGATTATAATTCTTTTTTTTTTTTTTTTTATAAATTGTCATCTGATTTTTGCCCCGGGAGTTTTTTGACGTGATATGAACAAAAAAATACCATCAACCCGGAACACCGGATCCTCTTGTGCTTCGTACACATGTATCTGTGAAATCAGTTTCAAGCATTTTTAAATATCCGATTTCTTGAACTGGTAAAATAGGTTTTTAGAATTAAAATTGCTTTTGTGGCTTTATCGAAACACATTTAAACATTTCTCGCAAAAAATCATGTATTCTTTTGCCAATTTATACCAAAGTAAGGTACATGATTTGATGATTGCTTTAACCAAAAGTTGCATGTTTATTTTTATTGCATAATAAAGTATAGTATTTTTTAAAGTACAAAGTCAATTTTATATATAGAAGGATAAATAAGTAATGACCGATGTAAGATCAATGTTGTATTATTTGCTACATTTGACATGCATTTTTCATACGGCCTAGCATAGGTTTAAGTGCACACACAAAGTTTGATTTCAGTTGATAAAAGATTCGTAATACCTTGGAAATTCATTTTCATAAATTAAGGAAAATGTATACGAATGCATAAATATCTTTAAAAGTCTATACAATATATACATGCAAGGTCACGACTTAATCAAAACGAAAGTACACAGGGTAAAATGAATATGGCGACCGCGAAAGAAGATTGCGATATCGACGCTATAGAGACTGAATTTTTAGGACTACAAGTAAATCCAAAGGAATGTCAGGGTCAGGATATCCGTATTTCACCTTATCAAATAAAGAACAAAGCAGGAGGTTATGTTTATGAAACGGATCTAAAGACGCAATTGGCTAGGTTTCTATTACTAGGGTCTTCAAAGTTGTTTTATCAAACTGAAAGTATGGACTTTACTTCACAAGATTTCACCTGTATTTCAATGTAAGTTAACTGTACGAAATTATAAAAGCTAAACATGATTTAGGAAAATAAAACTATTCATGAATTAATAAAGGTTTGTCTGTTGCAAAAGTTTTCATATGTACATGTAGATACATGTGTATCGCAGACCTACACATGTTTATATGAGATTTATCTACGTTTCAAATACACATTATGGATTCCGAGACATAATGTTAGTCTTAAAGTAATTATATAGAATTTTCTTATTTCAAAACATTTTATTTTATTGCCAAATTTAATTTTATTTCGTTTCTCTCAGCAATACGTCAATATACTATATTTATAGTTCCATGTATAAAACGGGTTCAGTTTTTCTTATTATTATATTGAAGATCTTATAGATATACTGAAGATAATTGTTTTTTGATTATTATAGAATACCTTGAGCTATATTATATACTGTTCCGGACCTGAGATATAATTAGCAATATTTATACATGGTGATCTAAGAAGATAGTCAATTTAGAAGTATATAGAAAAATTAGCTGATGAAAACGAACGTGATGGCAAATGTTTTAAAAACAAACTCATAGTTGCTGAATACCTGTTCAATTAAAATGGATTGTAAAAAATGAAAAAAAAAGTCTAATTATTTGTTTGATTTCTTCTAGATTAATCCATGATGGCTTTGGTAAAAAAGTTGTTGAATTTATCAAACATTTCTCGGAAGAAGGCCGTGCCTACAGACAAGAATCTTTGTTGTTTGCATTAGCAGTTTGCTGCAAATCTAATGACCTTGAAACAAAACGTGCTGGGTACAATGCATTACAATCCGTGTGTCGGATTCCATCTCATCTATTTCTCTTCATTGATTATTGCAAGGAAATCAGCGAAGAAAATCACTCTTCAAAAGGATGGGGGAGACAACATCGCAAGGCTGTCAGCAACTGGTATATCAATTTCGGAATGGAGGAATCCAAATTGATACTTTTAGCTCAGTATTTGTCAAAATACAAAAAGAGATATGGGTGGACTCATAGAGACATTATTCGGCTAGCACATCCCAAAGTAAGCGAGACAAACCCCGCTTTAAAATACCTTATAATGGTTGCAGTGAAAGGTAAACGTTTTGCCGACTCAAGCGATTTTATGAAGAATGAAAGAAAGAAACCTGATTTTGTCACTTCTTTTCTGGCAGAAATAATTAAGTACTTTGACAAAGTCGAAAATGCTAAAAAATCAAAAGACGTTAACACTATTGTAGAGTTAATCTTGAGGTTCAAATTAGTAAGGGAACATATTCCAACATGTTTTCTAAATGAGAAAGAAGTCTGGAAAGCCCTTATTAAGCATATGCCAATGACGGCAATGATGAGAAACCTGGGGAAGATGTCCAGCTTAAACCTCTTTCGAACGAAACGGGACAGTGTAAATGAAATATCATTTGAAGAGCAAATAATAACTGACAAACTGAAAAACAGAGAACTTATTTGCAAAGCGAGAATTCATCCATATGCCTATTTTGTGGCACTTAGTAAGTACAACCAAGGATTGGCAATGAATGTAAACTTGAGTTGGCCTGTTTGTCCTCATATTGCTGATGCTCTCGAAGAAGGATTCTACATTTCTTTTATTAACGTTACGCCGACGAAAAAGCACTTTCTATTGGCTCTTGATGTAACAAGTGATATGCATTTGACTGCCAAAAAGTGTGAAGTTGACACACACAGTCTATCGGCACTTGATGCTGCCATTTTCATGATTGTGCTGACTACAAGAACCGAGTCTTTTTCTGAGACTATCCTCTTCTCAGATGATAAATATTTGCCAATATCTGTCAATTCAAATGACACGTTTCATGATCTAAAGCAAAATGTTTGTAAAAAAATAAGCGGTTATAAATCCTCAACATCTGATGTTTCTCTTCCTTTCAAATATGCTATAGAAAGACGAAGGCTTGCTGATGTATTTGTTATTTTCACAAACTCTGATAAATCCCTGGGTAGTGTCCATCCAGCTCAAGCAGTACAATTCTACAGAGAGTCTTCAGGAAAGAAAGATGCACGGCTTATTGTTTGCGAAATGGGATCATCTAAACACTCTGTTGGGGATATCGAAGATCGCTATACATTGACAGTGTCAGGATTTGATTCCAATGTACCAAAATTAATAAATGACTTTGCCCAAGGAATTATAGGATAAAATATTGATACATATCTAGAGATATCTACATAAATAGGAAATGGATGTATTTAATTTTACATAAATGACGATTAATTTACATTGGCACACTCTGTTATGCATTTATTTCTTGAAAAATTGTAAACTTTGTTTTTTGAAATTATTAAATAAATTTTAAAAACCTTTTATGCATAAAACAGTCACCAAGATAAAAGAAGCATTTAGCACGTACCATTTTCACTATCAGCAATCAATCTGGAATCTATAAACCTAAAAAATTTTTCTACCCCCTCCCATCCCATTTCGACTATGAATTATTTAACAAATACACTTATTTTATAGCATTCATTCAATGATAGTATGATTAAAAACAAATTTTAATTGAGTGGTTGAATTTATATCCTTGGGCTCCAATGTCTTTATCCAAAGAGTATCTAAAGATAATTTTTAAGGTAATTAGGGTTTTTTGTTCTCAGCGGAAGACCTTTATATTGTTCTGATGCTTCTGTTTCACATATACTATTACAAGTTGAATTCTACACTTTGAATTTCCTACAGATATTCCAAAACTATAATTGCTCTCATACTTATCGATCATAAGCAAACCTTGCAGTGCCTAGATTTTGAACATCTAAAACAAAATCCTCTTCGCAGCTATGTGAAGACTTTATTATTTTGAGCTAGATTTTCTTTCAATATGTAATATATGTATGCATTTGTAGTCAACTTGTGATGAGAGTTTAATTAGGTATTATAATAGAGAATTTTTGTGATGTTACATGACTTTGTTGATCACGTGACGGACACATGAATTCCTAAATATTGCACACAAATCACAAGTGCAAAACAAAATTATTGTTTGTTATATAAGTCAAATCATCTTGATCTTTGGTACATATAAAGTGCAAGTCTAAATTTTATTCATTAAGAAAATATTTTACGATAAATTCAACTTAGCTAAATACAAAGGGATATTTTCCACTATTTATCGCAATTTATACAAAATTGGATAAATTACTCACAATCCCCCACCAAAATTCAGTTAAAGGGCATACATCTCTAGTATATTCACACAGAATATCTTCAATTTATCCTTATTAATCACTTGTGCCAGTTAAATATACATTATACAGTTAAATAAACATAAATTTCATAAATTCCAACGCTTAAAAAAGCAATTCAGACACTTGAATTAAACAACAACGCAAGAAAAATTCGACATGTCATGTGAAAGGAATGAAAAGGTTTTGACACTCTCCCCGTCATGTCAGCTCAAGTATGCAGTGACTTGACGTCATGTGCTATTATGACGTCATATTTAGGTAGTTTAGAGAAGTAACTACAGTTAGAACATTTGATATTTTACGGACCGCCTTATCCTAGCCGCGTTAGAAGTGTTCTTAATCCCCTTCTTCTTTCAACTACAGTCCAGCTGGATATGTAATTACTGGTTATGTTTCTGAAGTTGAAAATGAAAACCTGATTTTCGATTGATTGATTGCTTGTACGTTGTTAAACGTCTCATTCGAGAATTTTTCACTCATACAGAGACGTCACCATATACCGGTGAAGGGCTACAGATGTTGACCTTTACTCGGCACTTAGGGCCATTGAACAGTGAGGGTTCTTTATCGTGCCAACGCCTGCCGTGACACGGGGCCTCTGTTTTTAAGGTCTCATCCGAAGGACCCGCAACTTTCACTTCAAAGTGCCTAGCGCATGGCAAAGGAACAGTTGCTACCCATTTTTTATCGACTTAGGTCAGTCGCTGCCGAGATTCGAACTCACGACCTCCCGATCTCGGAGCGAACGCTCTACCGACTGAGCTACCGTGAACGGTTCCTGAATTTCGAAGCAATCATCTTAAAAGGTCCTAAATACAGGGAGCTCCAATCTTTCACTTTGCAACAGACCTTTATTTCTATTATAAATTTGTTGAAGATTATGCAAGACGGTTAACTAAATATGAAAAAAAGAAGATCGGAACATTTTGTAAGAATGAAATGAGAGTTTTAGAAATATATTAGAACATCGTAAAAGAAATTTAAAAGGCAATGCGCAAGTTATCTATCTTTCCGTTTTCACTAAATCGGAGGTGATGAAAGGATTAAAAAGACTACATGAACAATATGTAATGTTTCCAGCCGAAAAGGTTTGTAACTATATCGTCATTGTATGTAAGGTTCTTTATTATTACTGTATTTTAGAAGAACTTGGTTTTAATTTCGATTCAACGTCTGGAAATTCAACGTTTCCTCACATTTCACATTCTAAAGATGAATTCTTTAAAATCACATTTCAGTGTTTAATACTTTATTACATTTCAAGGTGAGTTTGATCTACCTTTACCTATACTGGATTCCTAAGCTTCATAAAAATCCTTACAGACAGAGATGCATTGTCAGGTCAAGGAAATGCTTTGTCAAGCCCTTTTCTTTACTCCTAACGAAAATATTAACTGCTATAAAAGATAAACTTCAGACAAATTTTGCTAAAGCATGTTCTAGAAGTGGTGTAAATCAGACGTTGATTCTCAAAAACTCCAAAAAACTTTTACAATTTTTTTTTTCAGAAGTCAGTTTCATCAAGATGTATGATTTTTTCTACACTTCAAAGAAATATTCCTTACAATTAATTAAAAACTATGCTTTTTTGATATTATTTATAGACAATTGCAATGCAATAAAAATTGCATTCGAAAATTTTCTTATCATCTACAAAATTACTTTGTTAAAAATCACTCTAATTCTACACATTAATACTCTAAAGTTGACACTAAAAGGATGCTGGAATTCTTCATCGATAACATTTATGTAATCTTTGAAGACCAGGTTTTTCGTTGGACACTAATTGTGCTCCTTTATAAACCGACCTGTTTTTTATATTCCTATGAAGAGGTCTTCTACATGAGGGGAAAAAAAACTTGCTGTGGCCCTCATCTCGATATTAAGATATATCTTATTATCATTAAACAATAGTTACTTCCGTTCTCATGTCAACTAGATATAATCCAGTGAAGTTGAAGTAAAAGTTGAAATAAAAGACTCAACAGAGTCTACCAGATCTAGATCTGTTTCATATTTAAATGTTTTACTAACTATAGACGACAAATTAAAGGTATATTAACATCAAAATTGTATGACAAACGAGATGACTTCAGATTTTCTATTGTCAAATTTCTTTATGTGTATATATCTCAATATTACCTGCATATGGTTTTTTCATCTCCCAACTGATTTGATTCATGTACGAGGGCCCTTCAATAAATAATGCAACATACGGTTTATCAATACAAGTGGAAGCATTTTATGTTCTATTTAAAAACTCCTGAACACCAAAAAAATGCGTACTTTTCTTCCTATCTTTACAAAGAAATGCTCTTTAAAGGTAACCATGGTCACTACACTGTGCTGAAAACTGTTATAAATTTACTCTGCCAAGAAGATGAAAATGAGTGCGTGATTGAAACTGCGCTTCAATGCAATAATTGCTGAAGAACCAATACGAGAGATATGGTTTTGATATGTGGAGAGACTAGTCTTTCAGGCTATACAGTTTTCAAATGGTAAAAGAATATCAAAAGTAATTAAAAAAGAGTTAAAAATTACAGTTTAACTGGTGGATCACATCTGTTGGGACACCAAAAATGCCTATGTGGTGAACAACAAGATATCTGAAAACTCCAGATTTAAGTGAAGGCATTGCTAAGACGCTAAACATTTCATAGTCACACAATTTGAAGAGTTTTCCAACACGGAAAAAGAATCTAAAACTTTTTATCTTTAATGGGAGCCTTATTTCCAAACAGATGCCTAAGAGAAAAAAGCATTGAGTATTCAATGTGCAAATAGCCTGTTATAAATAAAAAAATATATATATAGATCAAAAGAAGAGGTAATAGACATATACGAAAAAATAACGAAACGTAGGTGCACTTTTTATATTCCAAACGAAGATCAATAATAAAATGTGGTATCAGAGAGAAAGCTGTCGCCCTATTATTGCAAAGAGAAGTAATGGCTCCAAACAGGTTAATACATGTTTTCTGCTTACTCAAGGGGTCCAGTAATGTATGCAACTACACACATAGGAAGGACATTCAATGGCAGCTTTTATGTTGATTTACAATAAGGAAAGTTAAGCTGACTTTCTGTAAGGAAAGTCCAAGTACAGGTCAATAGAGTAGTTTTATTGTATCTGACAACGCTGCTGCAAATAATCATAAATATATACAGTAAATTCTGAAAAAAGAAGGTTTACAGAGCTTAACCATCCTCCGTAATCACTAGATCTCGGTCATTGTAAGATTCTTTTACATTAAAATTGCACGAAATTAATCATATAAAGATTATTTATTTAAAAAAACTGTTTCTCATTGCTTTCGTATTTTGGAAACCCTTTTGCATTACTTATTAAACGACCCTTATACTCACGAGCATGTTCCAACAACAAACAATTTAAACAGAGGCAAGCTAGTGACAGATAAGTTGATGTTACAGGGATTTTAACAACCCCCCTTTAAAGTCGGCATTTAGTGAATTCTATGGTCGTCATAATGACCTTGCTAGCAAATATAACCTGTCATTGATTCCTATGTTGGCTGGCGTGTTTCATACCATTCATACCAACTGTTAGGGTTTTCAAATGATCTTTTTGCCAGGAAAAAAATCTCAAAAAACGACAAAAGCTTATGTGGTTAAATTTCCAGTGATTATAGACAACATGTCCAGGGTTGTCTACATTTGAAAATTTAACCATAGAGGAAGCTGTGCGAAAAAAAAAAATGCAATAGAAAGTGGGATCCTGAACGCGTGTTTCACTTATTTTCTCCATTAATCAATGATTAATTTCATAAAACCTTACTATTGCAACAAAAAAGTGAAGTAAACCCCCCCCCCCCCTCCAAATTTCTGTAAAGACTTTCCTCATAAAAAAGAAAAAAAGATTATGTATCTTATTTTATAAATCTAATAAATTTAATAAAGTTTCGCAAAAACAGTAGGAACATTTAAAAAAAATCAGACTTTAAAATAAATTAGTACATGTAACCAGGCAACAATGTTTTCCTTTTTTTTTTCGAAAACTGATATACAGAATTAATGTTGTCTACTGTATGACAAGTTTTACTTTCGTTGAACCAAACACTGATGAAGAAGTAACATTCTTAAAAAAGTTTACCGACACTGACTCTTAACATTGTGTAAGATTCTATCTGCTGGGCTTTGAAAACTTATTAGTGGTTTAAATGGTTTCAGTATCTAAACTTAATATTACCAGGGTAATAAATTTGACATAACTGTAAGTCTGTTTTCTCTGTTCTGTTCTTTCTAAGCTTTTTTTCTACACTACATTTTTCGCCGATTTTCCTAAGTTGTTAACACATCCATGTGCTAAAAATAGCACCACGCGACCTTTCATAAAAACGATGGGTAATTCTAAAACTTAGACTTGTGTTCAGCGTTCTTGTATATTCTGTCAGAAAGGTATTTAATTAATATTTAAAGACAGAACAAGATAAATTGATTGAAAACAAGGAATAGGAAATTTTGTAAGGGTAAATTCATTCTTGACCACAGAAACTTGATTCTGATGCTTATCGATCATCACGTTAGACAATTACCTGTACGTTAGTCGTTACTGCGCTACGTCTTATTTTTTTGTAAATCTTTTATTAGAAAGTGTCCCTAAATTAAACTTGTATAAAAAAAAAATAACTCTCATGATATTGATCATCAGCTGATTGACTCTCAGTTGTCACGCTTGTTTATTCACAGCTGAAAAACAAATTAGACACTCTGAATAGTTGTTGAATAAAACGTCTACAAAATCGCAAGGCTTTTCATTAGATATCAAGAAAGGGATTGATTCCTCAAATTAGGGGCTCAGGTGGACCAAAAGACCTTAATGTATACTCTTAATTGATTGATATTTTTTTATGTTATAAATCACTGAGGCAAAAATATTTAATTTTAGGTCAATAGTTAATGTTGACAAAGATCTTTAAATCTTTCTAATAAGTATAATGTTTGCGAAGTGGATAATAAAATGAACTACGTTGGTTGCAATGCATAATTATTTTAATGTACATGTATAAAATTTACAAAATGTATAACATATCTTTTAACTGCTATAGGTTTTCTATAGCATAGAACAAATAAAGCCAAAAATATTCAGGGAAATCGTTCACAGTAATGACAAGAAAACATTTTTGTTGAGGCCAAACTTGAGACCAATGATCATTTTGAGGCTAAATTTTAGGCCAGGTCAACTTTTTAGGCCAAGTCAAAGATTAATTAGGAGCCAAAACGGAGGTTGAAATACAGTCCAGGCCAACTTTGAGGCCAGACTATTGGTGACAGGCCATGATTTATTGTACATGTATGCCATAAAAAACCAAGGAGTGTTTATTTAACGTTGGACGAAGAAAAAAAAAAGACATTGGGTCTAAATTTAAATTTCAGTCATGTGTAAAATTTTCATAAATCAAACCAATGAACCGGAAACTTAATAACGATGCATACATCATTAATTGTTTTTCAATTCAAAACCTCTTTTTATCTCTGTTTAAGTTCGTGATCATTTAAGTGTAATAGAAAATTTTCCGATTGTAGATAACCAGATGAAATAAAATGTTTAGATCATGCAGATAACTAGACGTTGCTGATGATATATATATATATATATATATATATATATATATATATATATATATATATATATATATATATATATATATATATATATATATATATATATATATACTTAAACTTGCTTATTTATCGGGTCTGCTCTGTATTTATGAATTATTGGGCCAAATGTTATCTGTCGTTATGCGAAGACGGGATCAGATTGATAATATCAAAAATCACGTCAGGAAGCTATATATACCATAAAAAAGAGACTAAATTGATTACCAACTGTATATATACCTACTGCATTTAAACTGTGGAATTGGGTCTTGGACCCTATTATTGAAAAACGTATATATATTCCGAGATTAACTGTTGGGTCTAATCAGTTATGATCGATTATATCGAGTAGTATTTCCGGTAATTTGTGAAGGCTTTGTCTTTCTGCTACTCTTGAAAGCTATGATTATATTGTTTGAGAAATAGATTAATTTACAGCTGTATATATGGTTTTGCATTCATGTTATTGTGTCTTAGACCCAATTATTAAAAATATACTATACTAGCGGAAAAAAGAAACTGTGCATTACTTAGAGCATAAAACATAAGAATAAAATACAAATGAAGGTACATTTAATTCAGTAGCATGATTCACAAATGTATTGTTTACAAATACGCGGAATTAATTTGTGTTTAAGTCATAAAACGTCACTTGTAGGACGTTAGAAAGACACTGGTACTTGGAAGGAGATTCACAAACTTAATACCGCGTATGGCCACCATTTGCTTTCACGCATGTTTGACACCAGCGTCTCATTGATGACACTAAATTAAGTTCGAAGTTTTTCTGAAAATTTGTACCCTCATTGTCCACTATATGAAAATGTGACCTGACATTTTCATCTTTATTGGATAATTTTCCATAATTTCAACAGTTCTTATACATGTATATGCCTCAGTAATCGAAAATTTTGGGGCATATAGTTTTTTCCCCGACCATCCATCCCTCTGTATGTCTGTCCGCAAAAACTTCAACCTTGACACTTTAGTTCCATGGCAAGTACTATTAAGAGGTAAATATTATTCCAAAAGCGTACAGTCAAATAATTCTGAAATTATTTATTTCTGGGCGCTTGTCTCTCTTAGTATCCCCTGTGCACTGCAGTTACATGCGACACAGATATTTTTGTTAAGAAAAAAAAGGGGGGATATCTGGATAACATGCCTGTTGTCTTCATCAAAAATAAAATTAAAACATGAATGATAATTTCATTTATTACTACTTGGTGCTTAACAGTAAAACTAAAACTATACATATATTAATAATGTATAAGCTGAAAACTTCACTTAATTATTTTAAAAAATTTAATATTTCAAGTGTATAAATCTAACCTTCACTCTAATATTTCATATCATACGCAACATAGGGACATTAATAACAGGAATACAGCTATAAAGATGATATACTTTATCCATCACTTCTCTCAGATTGTGTTAACGAGGTCCAATCTAGTTAGAAATCATGAAAATGGACAGGCAAATATTTTTGAATTTTTTTTTATATATAAATATTTGTATGTAACATGCTATGAAAAATTGGATTGAAATTTTGTTGCCTTGATTGTAGTCAAATGGGGGCAATTTCAAAATATGGACAATTTTTTGTGGTTTTACACACAATTATATGCCAAATTGATATCTTATAAAAAACTATTTGCTGAAATATTTTGTTTCCATATCTTTTTTGCAATAAAGGCCATAAAATTACAAAGTTGTGTTAATATGAAGGAAACTAAAGTATTTCTTTTTGGTTGCATTTCAATGACCCATAGAATTAAAAAGAAATTAATCTACTGCACGCATATTTTAATTTATCAACAGAATTGGTAAAATAAGATTTTCAAGGAGAAAGACTACATGCTTTTTTTTGTTCTTGTTTTTCTTTTTTTGTTTTTTGCATTTTTTAAACACAAAAATTAAAATAAAATAAGATAAAGTTATGAATATCTACTTAAAAATTCACAATATCTCATAATAATTTTTTTTACTAAGTTGTTTTCTTTAATCATGTTAATCAAAATGTTTCATTAAAACAAAATATTGAGCTTTTAACACACACAGTCAATACACACAAATAGCAATATATTTTAGCACAATTAAACATCATTTTTACTGTGACGTTATTGTATTAAATTATGACGGCAATCAAGGCTACTGTGAAGCATCCGAAACGAAGTTGTGTGAAAATGTATGTGCAGACCAAGTAGATTGGGACTTGGTAATTGGATCCTTGCATCCCATTAACATGCAAATCTTCAACAACTGCACAAAGATTCAGGGACATCCAATAACCTACATTGGGATTAAAAAGGAGTTCAATGTGTATTTCACAATGTTCATTCCTCTACATTCATCATATCTTAAAAAATAACAAGTATATCCTCATATTATAAACATGTATGAGGAAAAAGAGTTCAAAGACTTTTTAAAACCCTTTTTATCTCTCTGATTCACTCTCATTTTTCATAAAAATAATAAAGGAGCCTGACAAAAAGTATGTGAACATGTTTATAAAGGTAGATCTCTACAAGGTTAAAAAGACTATTCAACCAATCATGTAGATGTGTTCATGAGCTATTTAATTCTATAGTCCTCTTGCATAAAAGTAACAAGATCCTCACATCTTTAAAAATGGTGTTGATGTATTTCACAAAATTTTAAAGTCACATGATGTAAAAGGGGAAACATTTTCAAAATTTTAAACAGTTTAATGGACAAAAAACAAAGACAAAAACAATTTAATCTCATGTGCCCAGAGATAATACAAGCTGTTTCCCCCCTTAGTTAAGACTTTTAAAGACATTACAAATTTGTAGCATGTTTTATATTGGAAATGATTTGGTCATGAGAAATTCAAGTGGTTAAATGAAAATCTGATGCTGACTGTGCTTTATATGGATTAAAAATCAACAGAAGACAATGGACAATTGTTGATCAGGAAATGTAACTTCACTAAATAATTCTAAAACATAATGAATCCTGCAAAAGACTTCATTTGTAGTCTATCTCTTTTTTTGGACTTTTCCTAAAATGATGTTGTTCATTTTGGATCTTATTACCGCTTCTGACCGGCTACGTAATGTTTTATATTTTGACTGTGCATATCGGATTGCTTTGGTGGACACATTCATTTTTTTCTTAATCTGTATCCCAAATGCTTCCATCAGTTCTTCTTCCTCTTTGTCTGTCCATCTTCTTTTACAACCTAAAATCAGAAAGAATGTGGCCATAAATGCATAGCAAATAAACTGCATACTTTTTATCTGGGTATAGCTTGGAACTAAATTGGTTATGAATACGAGACTCAAGTGCATCACCATGGCACATGGCAAGCCAGAAATGAATGTGTATAGAATAAATTCATGTCAAGCTTTTTATATAGATTTAAATGATTTATCTATTTCTAATGTTTGATGTTGATCTCCTATGCTGCAGTTATTTATTAGAGAAAAAAAAAACAGTACATCATTCATGACAGGTTGAAATGCCACTGCCTCATAAAACCTAAGGTAGGATTTTGTCATATCATCTTAATTTGACTTAATGATATACATGTATTAAGCTGCGATAGCCCTAATCAAATTTAGAAAATTATAAACATTTTCAGGTCACTAGGAATTATGATTATTTCTGACATCACCATAATACTAGAGAACCTCATAGACTCATTACAAACATTCAAAGTAATCATTGAACAAAAGGCCCATGGACCACAAGACTCATCTGAGTAACTATGGCCCTTCTTGTTCTTAATCAGCGAAATTTCAAAGATCATTTCAGCCCTTCTACACTGTGTCAGAAAGTTTTCACATAAGTATCATCTTCTCTGGCTTAGTGGTTATTGAGATTTTTGAAATTTTAAATGACCCAACCCAATTTTTACTATTTCTTCACTATCTCCCCTTAGAAGATGAAGTGACACTTTAATTTGAACAAACATGAATCCCCTTCATCCAGGGATACTCTGTGTTAAGTCTGAAATTGTCCAGTGGTTCTGAATAAGAAGATGACACTGTTAAAAGTTTACAATGACAACCATAACAACAACGATGTCAAACAATGGACACATTTTTATCAGAAAAGCTCATTTGAGTCTCTGGCTCAGGTGAGCTAAATTTTTCTTTATTTGATATATTTCATCCATAATAACAAGAATCAAAAACCACTTTAAAGTAACATTTTCTTAATTTTGTTTTAAAGTGATATACTATTGCAAATTCTTGAAACCAAAGACTTATTTACCTTTTGATCTAATATACTGTGGCTGTTCACTATCTGAATTTGAGGGCTGTTCATGATCTGAACAAGATGGTTTATCTGCTGTGGAACTAGATGCCAGATCTACTGTGGAACTAGATGCCTGATCTACTGTGGAACTAGATGCCTGATCTGCTTTGAAACTAGATGCCTGATCTACTGTGGAACTAGATGCCTGATCTGCTTTGGAACTAAATGCCTGAGCTACTTTGGAACTAGATGCCTGAGCTTCTGTGGAACTAGATGCCTGAGCTACAGTGGAACTAGATTGATCCTCCTTCCCAGCCAATTCATAATCCAGATCACCATCCTTTGATAAAGGTTCAGGAAGTTCTGTGAATTAAAGAAAAGGTCTAATTTTACATATAACATGTATTATGCATTATATCATATATTGCAAAGACAGATACAGTGGAAACTGAAAAATCAAATTGTCTTGGAAGTATCCATAGAAGTTCATTTTTATAGTCTTTTATTTTTTTTTTTTATGTTACCTATGTCAGAGGACTACCTTTATTAATTGAGTCTCACAGAGTGCAAAATGTGAACATGGCTTGAATATGCATAGAAAGTAGAACCATAAAATTCCTAAATAAGACCATTGTGAAATACTTTGGTTTGCAACAAACATTTCCAAAGATGCATCGACTGGTCATTTGATGGCCCAGGCCACACAGTGTGCAAGATAAGACCTTGACCATGTTGATTCTGACAATGCATAGTCATACAATTCCAAACTGAGACCAGTGATCCAATTCTAGTTGCAACAAATCTTCCCCAAAATATGCATCTTGGAGACCTTGTCAAACAGCATTAAAATTCCTGAAATACTTTCTGAAACTAATTAACCTTCTTATCATGTGTGAATTTATGACATAACATTGGTACTTACTAGTAAATAAGCAAGGGTATCCCAGCAATTTTTGTGTGCGTCTTAAATTTTTGGAAGTTTTTAAAATGCTTAGCAGATGCACATAAAACTGCATCTCCATAGCCTGTTGTCAAGTAAATGGATGTTTAAAAAAATGCACTCTCTTATATTGGTAATGTGAGGGAAAAAAATTAAGCTTGAAGTACATACTTCTTTATATCAAAGCCATTCAGCTCACAAAAATATTTACATATGAAAAATTCATCACATTTAAAAAAGCACAAAAATCTTTTCCATAAGCACAAAAGTCCAGAACATCCAAATTTAAATCAGAACAAAAGGAGCATGCTTCAGAAAATTGAAAATTGTCATTGAAGGCAAGGAAACCAAATGCAAACTCATCTGCCATGTTTTGTATCATATCTGGGAAGATTTTTGGATGATTAAATATGGCTGATAACTTCCTTCCTGCACATGTGCAAAACAGATTTTAAAAATTATTGGGTCAAAAAAGTATATATTAAATTAAACATACAAATACCAAACTATAGGGTTGATTTCAATGTAAACTTCAAATGATTAGAAATCTTGTATGTATATATATGACTGTATCTTTCACACACTCAAAAAATAAGATCTTTCAAAACAAAGGAACCCTCTCATTACTACAATCTTTTCTTTTGTGTCCAACATTTTTTTTTTTCTGATGGAGCAAATCTTAAACAAATGACTGGACTTATGTGTAGATTGAACTTAACTTGTATAAGGAAAGGTCTGTTTGGATTTTTTAACCAGTACATAAAACCATATTGAAGAAAAAGTTCACACTAAAATGGAACCAACAGTTTTCTAGTTATAATAATAATAATAATAATAATAATACTTTATTTAAAGAGGGTAACCCGATTAGTGCAATTCCTCGGGGCCCTCTAAACATATTAATAATAATACAATTACATGTATGAAAACATTGTACACTAATTAAATAATACAACATGATGGAAAAATACAAGTACAATTAAAAGTTTAGGACATGGAATTACGTTACTTAAACAGTGTTGCGGCAAGTTATAATAAATTTTTCCACATTTTTACGAAATGTGTTTACAGTTGGTGAAAAACGTATATACAAAGGTAATTTGTTCCATAAATGAACACCGGAATAATGAAAAGAATTTTTAAATTGATTTGTTCGATATTTCGGTAGACGAAGGTCATAGTTGGTTTCAGATCGTAAAACATAATTTTTAGAAGAAATAAATTCAAAAGAGTCTCTTAAATAATCAGGTGTCATACCATGAAGTGTTTTGTACAGTAATACATATTTATGAAAATCAATCAACTCATATATGGTAAGCCATCCAAGTTTTTCAAATAATGGTAGTGAAGGGGCATCATAAGCCACATCTAATATAATCCGGGCTGCCCTTTTTTGCAATTTAAAAACTCTATCTATGCCAGCACCTGGCGCATTACCCCAAATAGTTAGACAATAATTTAAAGAAGGCAGAATGTAGGCATTATAGAATAGTTTTCTTGTGTGTAATGGGAGGATTTTTTTAATTCTGCGTAAGGTATATAATTTATACGTCAAAGATTTACAAACTGAGTCAATATGGTAATTATAGCGCAATGAATGATCAATATATACTCCCAAAAGTTTTTCAGATTCAACATTTTCAATTAATTTGTTTGAAGCATATAAATTTAATTCAGGAGAATTTATCTTTGATTTTCTATGTTGAGTTCCCATAAGCATACATTTTGTCTTATTGGTATTCAACACCATTTGATTTTTGGAACAAATGAGCTGAACATGATTTTTCCATACTTAATTTAAGGTCAGAGGGACCTACTTTTAATGTGAAACACACCTTCTACCCAAGATGTATCAGCTGACAAAGTTCGGTAATTCTAGGCCTAATAGTATTTCAGTTATGAGCCATACACAAAAAAGCTAAGAGACGGATGGACAGACGGACATGAACACCATAACATAATACGTCCCATCTTATGTAGGTCATATTTTTTTTATATAACAATTTCCGGCCAGTTGGTTTCGAAACAACTGCCATTTTAAACAATACACTCGTAATCAGTAAAGTTTATTTAACAATAAATGTTTTACATACCTTTTTCATTACCTGGTATCACTGATATACATCAGTGTGACACTAATTACACTTGGGATGATTTGTTTAAGTAAACAGAGACATGCTTGGAATGCACTGTCAACACAATATCGTTACATGCTTGGGGTTACAGAAAAAAAAATTTAGGGACATTGCTTTTAATCTATCCCAATCAAATAACAATTAAAATACAAACTAAACTTAAATACATGTAAATAAAGCTTATAGGTAAACTGAATTTGCCAAGAAAATTTAAAGTTGTATCCTACTTTCCTTTTTGAAATGATACGAATATTTTTAACTTTTTAAACTTTTTCTTTGAATTAGTTGTGCTGTGAAAATAAGAGATACATCCATATTTGCATTTTTGGAGGTGCGTTTTATTTATAGCAACTGCGTTTTTCTCAGGATTTTCCTCCCAACTTTGGGGGTGCATCTCTTCCTCAACTCTTTAGAACACAAAACTACCCCCATACCTCCCTTCCCCCATACAAAAAATAGGGATCCATCCCCGTAGATTATTTTCACTGGAATTGCCCTTAGTAAATAAAGACAAGAAGGCATGAAAAAAATTCTTTACAAAATGATTACCTTCCAGCTGTATGTCTTTCATTTTCTTTCCTGCCCATTCATTGACTTGACCATTCTCCACAGCATAAAGCATCCTAGCAACCTAAAACATTTAAAGATACATGTATTTTATAAAGACCTTGCAAGAGATTTGTTAATGGCCTAGCATTACTTATCAGCATAGGCAAAATAGATGCTCTATTAATTACAACTAAAGTATGATTAATTATTGCATACTAGCCACCACTCTTTTTTATCTTTAAATTTCATAATCTTCTAGGATTGATAGAGCTTTTGCTCTGGAGGATTAAATTTTTCCTGTTTGGAAGTTTGACCTAAAATGACTATTATATACAGTTTTTCTTTTTGGCACCCTTTTATTTTCGCCCATTCATACCTATAAACAATTTTGCCCCTTTTAAATTTGCCCAAAGAGAGTTGTATTAAAGAGATAATGCCATCTTCTTTCAATTTGACCATTTAAAATTCACCCACTTGTGATGAGGGTGAAAGGGGCAAAAATTTCCCTGTATACAGTACCATTTTCACCTGTTGTAATACTGGTATGTAAAAACATGACTAGGATACCTATTACACAATAATAGGTATATATGTTGCACAGGTTTTCGTTTTCCTGTGCAGGGGAGGATTATAATTCTACCACCTGAGTGAACTCTCCATTGTTGGTAAAATGCTAAGAGATTTACACTCTAGTACATGGTGAAAATTTAGATAGCATGGTCATCACATTATGACATACAAATATGCATATGAGCTCTTAAAATGTTGTCACAACTAAAACACTTCTTACCTTGGATAGCTCAAGCACTGATGATGACAACTGATAGTATTCCTTGTGTGTTTTTACATCATGTCCAAGATGTTTAGCAAGTAGTTTTAGTTCTCCCTGTGTCATATCCAATATCTATTGAAAAATCATTGTAATTAAATAAATCATATTATCAGAAATAATCATCAACTTACCTAACTATTTAAACTGGAAAAAGCAAGAAAAAAGACAAATAATATTTGACGAGAACACCAAGTGCTATGTACTTACTTGGGATACAGTTGCAATGTATTTTCTCAATGATGTTGATGTAATATTTTCTGGATGTTTTAATCCTTCACATTTTCCCAACAACTCCTTCATTGCTGTTGTCCCAGATAATGGTGTATTGGAATTCAGTCTAGCAAACATGTATTTGTTTGTTGGGCTAACTCCAACAGCAGATCTGAGTCTTGTGAGAACTTCTAATGCTCTTTTTGAATCAGGGGTCAAAAGAATATATGCCTTCATATTTTTTTTTGATTTCCCAAAACCTTCGACTAAATCCATTCTACAAGAATAGAAAGATTTTTAATAAGCTATGTGCAAAAAAAAAAAAAAAAAAAAAAAAAAAAAAAAAAATTAAAAAAAAAATTAAAATAAAAATCTGTACACAATTGTTATCTGCTTTGGCTACTCCTTACAAATATAACAAGTACACTGTAGACAAAGTCAGACGTTGCTTACATTTTACAATCTAAAAGCATAAGATATAAACGGATGAATAAACTAGAAATATGTCCAAAGTACATGAATGCCCGCTGCAGGTATATGTATAAGTAATGCAACATGATAATTTGTATTAGTGTATGACGTTTGATGAGAATATCTTGAATAGTTTAAAATTAAAATTGAAATCTAAAAAGTTGGATATAGATGATAAATGATCACCAAATTATGTACAAGTGCATAAGCTTACACAAAAATATCTTAAAGGGTTTCTTAAAAACTAAGCAAAATGCAAATTTAAAGAAAAGTGAGATCAAGGTCACAGGAAAGTTCAAATTCAAAAGTTTTTGATGCAATTGAATAGCTCTCACTAATATGTATCAGCAAATTAAGTTTGATAAAATTATTTTGAATGGTTTCTTTAAACTGTGTTAAATGCAAATTTAAGAAAAGTGATGTCAAGGTAAAAGAAAGATCAAGGTCAAAAATGCTGATGCAGTTCAATAGCTCTCTTATAAAAATCTATAAACCATAAAAATATCCCATAAATACCATAAACACTTATGGAGGCATATGGAAACTATAAAATATAGTGGTATCTAACTTATAGACTATAATTTGTCTTTCTTTTATAATAATGTATCTGTGTAAAATTGAATTACCAATTAGATTGTGACCTTAAGTTTGTGCTGCGATAAATTCAAGAATTTAATTTTTAAAAAAAAATTATCAGATTTCCCCCCCCTACCTTTTTGCAAAGTTTTTTTCCATATCTGTCAGAGATTCTTCAAATTCCTCAGTTGAAGTCCATTTGGGACGTTTCTGAAAATACTCCACAGGTAAATCTTCTACTTCTGCAACCCTCCGTTTGTTGAATAGTATCAAACGGCACATTGTGGCCTTTGCTAGCCGATTCCATGCTACATGTAATTGATCTTCATTACTTTCCAAAATTTGCTCAGATTCTTTCATTTCGAAGATGAGGAAATCCCTGAATTTTACCAAGTCGCTTGTGCTAGGTATCTTGGAAGGGTTGTTTAAATTGGCAACCCTCTTTCTTTTCCTTGCTGGTGCATTGACTCTAAAACCCCATTCAGAATCGAAGAGATGCTTGAAGTTTTTTGATGCATCCAACATTGTCTCGTCATTTTTCCTTACTGCATAGCCATTCTTTACCATTACACAATGACCTATAAGATGGCCAAGTTTTGGGCCAAGAGATGGCACCTCAGAGGACAGCTCATTTGCATACTTCACAATTTTATCAAAATGATCTGGCGACAGTAGCTTATTCAACGATGGTAGTAGTATGTCTTTACTGGCCATGATTACTAAACGTGCAAGGGTTCTGCAATTTGAACTCACTCTATGCATGTCATTTTTTTTTCTGAATTCTTTCTTCTCCCAAAGCTTGAACTTGAATTGAAGCAAAGTTTTTAATTATAAGATCCTTCTTTATGATTTCTTTTTCTTCTCCATCATTCATTCTCTCTAACAAATGCATAATGTTACTTTCATTTTCATCAAACAGTGAACCATATAGTAATGTTCTCCCTTTTCTAACAAAAGACTTTCCCAACTTTTCATCCTCATCATCATCTTTGTTTTTAACTGAGGCTAATTTGCAACTTTTTGCATGGTGCCACAATAAATTCTTCAGGAAGAAACCCTTACAAAACTCACAAGGGAGATATTCATCAGGTGAATGATTTGACGAATCTGGACTTTCTCGTCTTGCTGTTATAAACAGACCACCGTTTTTCAAAACTTCGATGTTATGTTTATAGTTTCCCTCATTGATCAATTCCAGGAACAGCATTCCTCTCTTCTCTGACTTTTTTGGCAGCATCTGAATTTCCATTATTTTCAGTTCATTCTTATGGGTAAGCAAATGTCTGGATATTTTAGAATGTATTTCTTTATGACAGAAAGTACAGAAGTTAATCTTGTCATATCTTTTCTTGCACCCAGGCTTTGGCAATGCTTTGAGATGCAGATGAATTCCTACAAAGCAATTGTAAATCTTATTATACCTATTTTCTGTGGGAAACTTATCTTCAGCCTACATATTTTGACTTCAATTACAAGATCTGTGATGCTTGTGCCTTGTCAATATACACATTTCAAACCTTCTAAAGCAAAGTACCAAGCAAGTCAAACTGATATACAAGAAAAATAGGGATGAACTTGCCAGAATGACTTTGGGTCAAGGCTATGACACACCCATAGGTAAGAGAGTTTTCTTACCAAATATGAAATTCAAATGATTCTCCATTTAAATGATTAAGCCCAGGCAAAAATGTACTTTTTCTGCCAATGACCTTAAACTTGCAGGAATGACCTTGGGTCAAGATCAAGAGGCACCCTCATGTCATAAACAATCTTTGTACTAAGAATGGGCTTCCAATGATTCCCCCATCAAAAGTTATAGCTGTACAAGATTGAACAGACAGACAAAGCAGGGCTCTAATTGGCGACTAATTGAGTCGCCATGATGCCTGAAATTTTTAATAGGCAACCATTTTTAAATTGACTTGGTGATCATCAAATTGCTGAACTATAAACATTTTCAACATTATTTTATAAAGAGCAGAAAAGAAGTATAAAAGTTAGCAATGGACATGTCTTCATATATTGACTAATATAAGTTTTTAAATTGGCGCCTCAGAAAAATTTGCCTGGTAACTGCAATGGCGACTAAATTTTTTAATAAGGAGCCATCTGGCACCTAATTTTTTTAGGTCACTTAGAACCCTGTATAGGGACAAGGTGATTTCTTTATACCCCTCTTCTAACTATATTTTGGGAAGGTTTAATAAATTGTTGTATTTATTCATTTAAAGTACATTAAGCCTGTCTTGTAATTATGTTGTTATTAAACTGCACTAATGGACAGCTTGGGTATCAAACATAATTTTGACAAAATTTTAAGACTTCAAAATCAAAATTATGACTTTAAAAGTCTGTTCTCACTTTATGATCTTTGGGTCAGATGTTGATTTCCTTTACGATGTATACACTGTGTATGGTGTTTCATTGAAAGTAAAAAGCAATCGTTTTCTACAGCCCGTAACATTTTTACTATCAAAATGTGATGTCACTTCCGTTTAATCCATTGATTGAATTTCATTTTGATTTTAGTGTGAAATAAATATTTCCTTTTTCAGGTCATAGACACACTCAAGGTTGAAGTATATATATTATTATCAAATAGATAAAATATTTTGTTATATGGTAAATAGAATATTTTTCACTCAGTTTACTGTTAGAAATACTATTATTTTCCTGTCTACTTATTTTTTTTGTAACTGGCAACCAATTTAAACAAGAAGTCTGTGAGCCAATCCTCACTAATAATACCCCCGCTCTGATGTGAATACACAAGTTCAGTTATGGACAAACACAGTGATAATCAGGAAATTGACATTGGATTAGTAAAAAATGAATCCCAACATATGGCATGCCTAAACAAACATTGTGTTAAGATTTCAAGCACCTGCAATGAGTAGTTGCTGAGAAAACTGCGACCAAAATTTGTTATTTATGGTACAGACAGATGCAGGGATAAACAGGAAGTTGACATCGGATTTGTTCCAAAATGAATCCCATTATATGGCATGCCTAAACAAGATTGCGCTAAAATTTCAAGCAACTGCAATGAGTAGTTGCTGAGAAAACTACGACCAAAATTTGTTATGTATGGTACGGACAGACACATGGATAAACAAGAAGTTTACATCAGATTCTTACAAAAATGAATCCCACCATATGGCATGCCTAAACAAAGATTGTGTTAAAATTTCAAACATCTGCAATGAGTAGTTGCTGAGAAAACTGTGACCAAAGTTTGTTATGTATGGTACGGACAGACACATGGATAAACAGGAACTTGACATCAGATTAGTACAAAAATGAATCCCACCATATGGCATGCCTAAACAAAGATTGTGCTAAAATTTCAGGCATCTGCAATGAGTAGTTGCTGAGAAAACTGCGACCAAAATTTGTTACGGACAGACACACACACAGCTAGACACACAAGGGTAAAACAGTATACCCCCCTCTCCTTCGGAGTGGGGGTATAATTAAAGGGACAAGTGGTTAGAACTTCATAGTTGTCACATAAGATGATGAGTAGTCTTTGAAGTTTTCTTTTCCCACCCTGCACATGCTGCACCACTCCCACATTCAGATATCATAAAATTCATTTAAAAATGATAATGGCAGCATATGTGTGTTGATCCACAATACTTAGGTTAGCATATGAAATATTTGAGATAGAAAGATAAGACAGTACCTTCACTTGATGCTTTTTCATTTATTTGAACACTGTCCTTAGATTGACCTTCACTTGGCAATTCTTCATTTATCTGCACACTTTCCTTAGAATGAACTACTGACTTGGAACCATTTGTAAAATGGCTCCTCCCCTTGGACACCTCTAGTTTAAGTTTCTTTTTACTCCTTAATGAAGGCTTTTTACCTAGAAACACACATCAAATACATTGATTTCTTGAAAAAGATTGTTAACCACACCACAAATACAAAAACTGAAATATTTTTTAAAACATGGATGGATAAAAGCTGCAATTTGAATCTAGTCTTAGTTACTGTACAGCAATCATGCTTAAATATCATTATGTACACTTGAGCTTACATTTGACAAATTCCTCATTCTCTGGGTACAGAACAGAGTCTGAAGAGCTAGAATCATAGTCTTCGGAATCTGGAACGTATGACTTATCATCATCATCATCATCATCACTTGGATACATCTCAATATCTAAAAAAAAATATGTGACTGTTGTAGGACAAAACAAAACCCTGAAAAATATTGAAAAACATCACTGGGGTGAAAAGCAAAAGAAATGCTAAGACCCCTTTTTGGGACCTCTTTTGTGGTGTCTCCAGGACTGATGCAATAGTTCATCATTACTAAGCTGCTGTCATTCCTCTTAAAAATGAGTATCAATTCTAAGCTATGGGGTACACAAAGGTCACAAGAAGGTCATAAAATATGTCAATTTCCGAATTTTCTCATTTTTATGCAAATTTTCATCAATTCTATAGCACATTTTGTTTCAGAAAACACAGATAGTTAAACAATATTGTGACTAAAACGAATGTATCAAATACATTACCATTGCTAAGATCCTCAGTGAGTGATTCATTGGTGGTCCTAGAATCATGAATATCTTTCTCTGTGTAGAGCTCAGGCTTTTCTGTGCAGGTTGCTGATACATATCTTAGGTTGTCCTCACCGATGCTGAAAACACCTTGGTCACTCTGTGTTTCATCAGTTATCATTTCTACAATACATAACCATATCTTAGATACAGATATCCTGTCAGCAGGGTAAAAACATGAGATCTCTATTTTCCTAAAAACTCTGTTCAGGCATATAGAATCAGGTTCATTAGACATTCTTGTTATAAGCCCCCTCTTGTGTAAACTTTGGCCATCAAAAAAGTCTACAGCATATATCAGAACTATTGGGTCACACGTACCAAACTGCATTATAGGGTCTACATTTATCAAGTACCAATACCTTTTTAAATGTCAAGAACCTGGACCCTATAATATGGGGTTACGTTAAAGACAAAACCAATGCTGTATATCAACATGTGGGCTTTTTTCGGAAAATAATGGCCTAATAGTTCAACAATATTGTGAATCATACAAATGTATCAAATACAAGCATTATGGTAGTAAACTCAGGTGACCTAAAGAGTCTAGAACATGTATCTGAACTATTGGGTCACACGTGCCAAACCACATTATAGGGTCTACATTTACCAACTACCAATACATTTTTAACATCTCAAGAACATGGACCCTATAATTTGGAGTTACATTTAAGACCAAGCAATTGCTGTACATCAACATGTGGACATTTTTTCTGAAAATAATGCCCTAATAGTTAAACAATATTGTGACTAATACGAATGTATTAAATACATTACCATTGCTAAGATCCTCAGTGAGTGATTCATTGGTGGTCCTAGAATCATGAATATATTTCTCTGTGTAGAGCTCAGGCTTTTCTGTGCAGGTTGCTGATACACATAGTAGGTTGTCCTCACCGATGCTGAAAACACCTTGGTCACCCTGTGTTTTACCACTTATCATTTCTACAATACATAACCATATCTTAGATACAGATATACTGTCAGCAGCGTAAAACAAAATAAGATCTCTATTTTCCTCCACACCCTGATTACACAAATAGGTTCAGGTTCATTAGACATTCTTGTAATAAGCCCCCTTTTGTGTAAAGTTTGGAAAAGAAGTCTGGAACATGTTCCTGAACTATTGGGTCACATACATTAAACCACATTTTAGGGCCTGCATTTATCAACTATCCATACTTTTCTAACATGTCAAGAACATGGACCCTATAATATGGGGTTACATTAAAGACAAAACCAATTGCTGTATATCAACATCTGGACATTTATTTCTGAAAATAATGGCCTAATAGTTCAACTATATTGTGAATCATGCAAATGTATCTAATACAAGCATTATGGTAGTAAACTCAGGTGACCTAAACAATCTAGAACATATATCAGAACTATTGGGTCACACAAGCCAAACCACATTATAGGGTCTACATTTACTAACTACCAATACATTTTTAACATCTCAAGAACATGGACCCTATAATATGGAGTTACATTTAAGACCAAGCTATTGCTGTGCATCAACATGTGGACATTTTTTCTGAAAATAATGTCCTAATAGTTAAACAATATTGTGACTAATACGAATGTATTAAATGCATTACCATTGCTAAGATCCTCAGTGAGTGATTTATTGGTGGTCCTAGAATCATGAATATCTTTCTCTGTGTAGAGCTCAGGCTTTTCTGTGCAGGTTGCTGATACATATCTTAGGTTGTCCTCACCGATGCTGAAAACACCTTGGTCACTCTGTGTTTCACCAGTTATCATTTCTACAATACATAACCATATCTTAGATACAGATATCCTGTCAGCAGGGTAAAAACATGAGATCTCTATTTTCCTAAAAACTCTGTTCAGGCATATAGAATCAGGTTCATTAGATATTCTTGTTATAAGCCCCCTCTTGTGTAAACTTTGGCCATCAAAAAAGTCTACAGCATATATCAGAACTATTGGGTCACACGTACCAAACTGCATTATAGGGTCTACATTTATCAAGTACCAATACCTTTTTAAATGTCAAGAACCTGGACCCTATAATATGGGGTTACGTTAAAGACAAAACCAATGCTGTATATCAACATATGGGCTTTTTTCGGAAAATAATGGCCTAATAGTTCAACAATATTGTGAATCATACAAATGTATCAAATACAAGCATTATGGTAGTAAACTCAGGTGACCTAAAGAGTCTAGAACATGTATCTGAACTATTGGGTCACACGTGCCAAACCACATTATAGGGTCTACATTTACCAACTACCAATACATTTTTAACATCTCAAGAACATGGACCCTATAATTTGGAGTTACATTTAAGACCAAGCAATTGCTGTACATCAACATGTGGACATTTTTTCTGAAAATAATGCCCTAATAGTTAAACAATATTGTGACTAATACGAATGTATTAAATACATTACCATTGCTAAGATCCTCAGTGAGTGATTCATTGGTGGTCCTAGAATCATGAATATATTTCTCTGTGTAGAGCTCAGGCTTTTCTGTGCAGGTTGCTGATACACATAGTAGGTTGTCCTCACCGATGCTGAAAACACCTTGGTCACCCTGTGTTTTACCACTTATCATTTCTACAATACATAACCATATCTTAGATACAGATATACTGTCAGCAGCGTAAAACAAAATAAGATCTCTATTTTCCTCCACACCCTGATTACACAAATAGGTTCAGGTTCATTAGACATTCTTGTAATAAGCCCCCTTTTGTGTAAAGTTTGGAAAAGAAGTCTGGAACATGTTCCTGAACTATTGGGTCACATACATTAAACCACATTTTAGGGCCTGCATTTATCAACTATCAATACTTTTCTAACATGTCAAGAACATGGACCCTATAATATGGGGTTACATTAAAGACAAAACCAATTGCTGTATATCAACATCTGGACATTTATTTCTGAAAATAATGGCCTAATAGTTCAACTATATTGTGAATCATGCAAATGTATCTAATACAAGCATTATGGTAGTAAACTCAGGTGACCTAAACAATCTAGAACATATATCAGAACTATTGGGTCACACAAGCCAAACCACATTATAGGGTCTACATTTACTAACTACCAATACATTTTTAACATCTCAAGAACATGGACCCTATAATATGGAGTTACATTTAAGACCAAGCTATTGCTGTGCATCAACATGTGGACATTTTTTCTGAAAATAATGTCCTAATAGTTAAACAATATTGTGACTAATACGAATGTATTAAATGCATTACCATTGCTAAGATCCTCAGTGAGTGATTTATTGGTGGTCCTAGAATCATGAATATCTTTCTCTGTGTAGAGCTCAGGCTTTTCTGTGCAGGTTGCTGATACATATCTTAGGTTGTCCTCACCGATGCTGAAAACACCTTGGTCACTCTGTGTTTCACCAGTTATCATTTCTACAATACATAACCATATCTTAGATACAGATATCCTGTCAGCAGGGTAAAAACATGAGATCTCTATTTTCCTAAAAACTCTGTTCAGGCATATAGAATCAGGTTCATTAGACATTCTTGTTATAAGCCCCCTCTTGTGTAAACTTTGGCCATCAAAAAAGTCTACAGCATATATCAGAACTATTGGGTCACACGTACCAAACTGCATTATAGGGTCTACATTTATCAAGTACCAATACCTTTTTAAATGTCAAGAACCTGGACCCTATAATATGGGGTTACGTTAAAGACAAAACCAATGCTGTATATCAACATGTGGGCTTTTTTCGGAAAATAATGGCCTAATAGTTCAACAATATTGTGAATCATACAAATGTATCAAATACAAGCATTATGGTAGTAAACTCAGGTGACCTAAAGAGTCTAGAACATGTATCTGAACTATTGGGTCACACGTGCCAAACCACATTATAGGGTCTACATTTACCAACTACCAATACATTTTTAACATCTCAAGAACATGGACCCTATAATTTGGAGTTACATTTAAGACCAAGCAATTGCTGTACATCAACATGTGGACATTTTTTTCTGAAAATAAGGTCCTAATAGTTAAACAATATTGTGACTAATACGAATGTATTAAATACATTACCATTGCTAAGATCCTCAGTGAGTGATTCATTGGTGGTCCTAGAATCATGAATATCTTTCTCTGTGTAGAGCTCAGGCTTTTCTGTGCAGGTTGCTGATACACATAGTAGGTTGTCCTCACCGATGCTGAAAACACCTTGGTCACCCTGTGTTTTACCACTTATCATTTCTACAATACATAACCATATCTTAGATACAGATATACTGTCAGCAGCGTAAAACAAAATAAGATCTCTATTTTCCTCCACACCCTGATTACACAAATAGGTTCAGGTTCATTAGACATTCTTGTAATAAGCCCCCTTTTGTGTAAAGTTTGGAAAAGAAGTCTGGAACATGTTCCTGAACTATTGGGTCACATACATTAAACCACATTTTAGGGCCTGCATTTATCAACTATCAATACTTTTCTAACATGTCAAGAACATGGACCCTATAATATGGGGTTACATTAAAGACAAAACCAATTGCTGTATATCAACATCTGGACATTTATTTCTGAAAATAATGGCCTAATAGTTCAACTATATTGTGAATCATACAAATGTATCTAATACAAGCATTATGGTAGTAAACTCAGGTGACCTAAACAATCTAGAACATATATCAGAACTATTGGGTCACACGTGCCAAACCACATTATAGGGTCTACATTTACTAACTACCAATACATTTTTAACATCTCAAGAACATGGACCCTATAATATGGAGTTACATTTAAGACCAAGCTATTGCTGTGCATCAACATGTGGACATTTTTTCTGAAAATAATGTCCTAATAGTTAAACAATATTGTGACTAATACGAATGTATTAAATACATTACCATTGCTAAGATCCTCAGTGAGTGATTTATTGGTGGTCCTAGAATCATGAATATCTTTCTCTGTGTAGAGCTCAGGCTTTTCTGTGCAGGTTGCTGATACATATCTTAGGTTGTCCTCACCGATGCTGAAAACACCTTGGTCACTCTGTGTTTCACCAGTTATCATTTCTACAATACATAACCATATCTTAGATACAGATATCCTGTCAGCAGGGTAAAAACATGAGATCTCTATTTTCCTAAAAACTCTGTTCAGGCATATAGAATCAGGTTCATTAGACATTCTTGTTATAAGCCCCCTCTTGTGTAAACTTTGGCCATCAAAAAAGTCTACAGCATATATCAGAACTATTGGGTCACACGTACCAAACTGCATTATAGGGTCTACATTTATCAAGTACCAATACCTTTTTAAATGTCAAGAACCTGGACCCTATAATATGGGGTTACGTTAAAGACAAAACCAATGCTGTATATCAACATGTGGGCTTTTTTCGGAAAATAATGGCCTAATAGTTCAACAATATTGTGAATCATACAAATGTATCAAATACAAGCATTATGGTAGTAAACTCAGGTGACCTAAAGAGTCTAGAACATGTATCTGAACTATTGGGTCACACGTGCCAAACCACATTATAGGGTCTACATTTACCAACTACCAATACATTTTTAACATCTCAAGAACATGGACCCTATAATTTGGAGTTACATTTAAGACCAAGCAATTGCTGTACATCAACATGTGGACATTTTTTCTGAAAATAATGCCCTAATAGTTAAACAATATTGTGACTAATACGAATGTATTAAATACATTACCATTGCTAAGATCCTCAGTGAGTGATTCATTGGTGGTCCTAGAATCATGAATATATTTCTCTGTGTAGAGCTCAGGCTTTTCTGTGCAGGTTGCTGATACACATAGTAGGTTGTCCTCACCGATGCTGAAAACACCTTGGTCACCCTGTGTTTTACCACTTATCATTTCTACAATACATAACCATATCTTAGATACAGATATACTGTCAGCAGCGTAAAACAAAATAAGATCTCTATTTTCCTCCACACCCTGATTACACAAATAGGTTCAGGTTCATTAGACATTCTTGTAATAAGCCCCCTTTTGTGTAAAGTTTGGAAAAGAAGTCTGGAACATGTTCCTGAACTATTGGGTCACATACATTAAACCACATTTTAGGGCCTGCATTTATCAACTATCAATACTTTTCTAACATGTCAAGAACATGGACCCTATAATATGGGGTTACATTAAAGACAAAACCAATTGCTGTATATCAACATCTGGACATTTATTTCTGAAAATAATGGCCTAATAGTTCAACAATATTGTGAATCATGCAAATGTATCTAATACAAGCATTATGGTAGTAAACTCAGGTGACCTAAACAATCTAGAACATATATCAGAACTATTGGGTCACACGTGCCAAACCACATTATAGGGTCTACATTTACTAACTACCAATACATTTTTAACATCTCAAGAACATGGACCCTATAATATGGAGTTACATTTAAGACCAAGCTATTGCTGTGCATCAACATGTGGACATTTTTTCTGAAAATAATGTCCTAATAGTTAAACAATATTGTGACTAATACGAATGTATTAAATGCATTACCATTGCTAAGATCCTCAGTGAGTGATTTATTGGTGGTCCTAGAATCATGAATATCTTTCTCTGTGTAGAGCTCAGGCTTTTCTGTGCAGGTTGCTGATACATATCTTAGGTTGTCCTCACCGATGCTGAAAACACCTTGGTCACTCTGTGTTTCACCAGTTATCATTTCTACAATACATAACCATATCTTAGATACAGATATCCTGTCAGCAGGGTAAAAACATGAGATCTCTATTTTCCTAAAAACTCTGTTCAGGCATATAGAATCAGGTTCATTAGACATTCTTGTTATAAGCCCCCTCTTGTGTAAACTTTGGCCATCAAAAAAGTCTACAGCATATATCAGAACTATTGGGTCACACGTACCAAACTGCATTATAGGGTCTACATTTATCAAGTACCAATACCTTTTTAAATGTCAAGAACCTGGACCCTATAATATGGGGTTACGTTAAAGACAAAACCAATGCTGTATATCAACATGTGGGCTTTTTTCGGAAAATAATGGCCTAATAGTTCAACAATATTGTGAATCATACAAATGTATCAAATACAAGCATTATGGTAGTAAACTCAGGTGACCTAAAGAGTCTAGAACATGTATCTGAACTATTGGGTCACACGTGCCAAACCACATTATAGGGTCTACATTTACCAACTACCAATACATTTTTAACATCTCAAGAACATGGACCCTATAATTTGGAGTTACATTTAAGACCAAGCAATTGCTGTACATCAACATGTGGAGATTTTTTTCTGAAAATAATGTCCTAATAGTTAAACAATATTGTGACTAATACGAATGTATTAAATACATTACCATTGCTAAGATCCTCAGTGAGTGATTCATTGGTGGTCCTAGAATCATGAATATCTTTCTCTGTGTAGAGCTCAGGCTTTTCTGTGCAGGTTGCTGATACACATAGTAGGTTGTCCTCACCGATGCTGAAAACACCTTGGTCACCCTGTGTTTTACCACTTATCATTTCTACAATACATAACCATATCTTAGATACAGATATACTGTCAGCAGCGTAAAACAAAATAAGATCTCTATTTTCCTCCACACCCTGATTACACAAATAGGTTCAGGTTTATTAGACATTCTTGTAATAAGCCCCCTTTTGTGTAAAGTTTGGAAAAGAAGTCTGGAACATGTTCCTGAACTATTGGGTCACATACATTAAACCACATTTTAGGGCCTGCATTTATCAACTATCAATACTTTTCTAACATGTCAAGAACATGGACCCTATAATATGGGGTTACATTAAAGACAAAACCAATTGCTGTATATCAACATCTGGACATTTATTTCTGAAAATAATGGCCTAATAGTTCAACTATATTGTGAATCATACAAATGTATCTAATACAAGCATTATGGTAGTAAACTCAGGTGACCTAAACAATCTAGAACATATATCAGAACTATTGGGTCACACGTGCCAAACCACATTATAGGGTCTACATTTACTAACTACCAATACATTTTTAACATCTCAAGAACATGGACCCTATAATATGGAGTTACATTTAAGACCAAGCTATTGCTGTGCATCAACATGTGGACATTTTTTCTGAAAATAATGTCCTAATAGTTAAACAATATTGTGACTAATACGAATGTATTAAATACATTACCATTGCTAAGATCCTCAGTGAGTGATTTATTGGTGGTCCTAGAATCATGAATATCTTTCTCTGTGTAGAGCTCAGGCTTTTCTGTGCAGGTTGCTGATACATATCTTAGGTTGTCCTCACCGATGCTGAAAACACCTTGGTCACTCTGTGTTTCACCAGTTATCATTTCTACAATACATAACCATATCTTAGATACAGATATCCTGTCAGCAGGGTAAAAACATGAGATCTCTATTTTCCTAAAAACTCTGTTCAGGCATATAGAATCAGGTTCATTAGACATTCTTGTTATAAGCCCCCTCTTGTGTAAACTTTGGCCATCAAAAAAGTCTACAGCATATATCAGAACTATTGGGTCACACGTACCAAACTGCATTATAGGGTCTACATTTATCAAGTACCAATACCTTTTTAAATGTCAAGAACTTGGACCCTATAATATGGGGTTACGTTAAAGACAAAACCAATGCTGTATATCAACATGTGGGCTTTTTTCGGAAAATAATGGCCTAATAGTTCAACAATATTGTGAATCATACAAATGTATCAAATACAAGCATTATGGTAGTAAACTCAGGTGACCTAAAGAGTCTAGAACATGTATCTGAACTATTGGGTCACACGTGCCAAACCACATTATAGGGTCTACATTTACCAACTACAAATACATTTTTAACATCTCAAGAACATGGACCCTATAATTTGGAGTTACATTTAAGACCAAGCAATTGCTGTACATCAACATGTGGACATTTTTTCTGAAAATAATGCCCTAATAGTTAAACAATATTTTGACTAATACGAATGTATTAAATACATTACCATTGCTAAGATCCTCAGTGAGTGATTCATTGGTGGTCCTAGAATCATGAATATATTTCTCTGTGTAGAGCTCAGGCTTTTCTGTGCAGGTTGCTGATACACATAGTAGGTTGTCCTCACCGATGCTGAAAACACCTTGGTCACCCTGTGTTTTACCACTTATCATTTCTACAATACATAACCATATCTTAGATACAGATATACTGTCAGCAGCGTAAAACAAAATAAGATCTCTATTTTCCTCCACACCCTGATTACACAAATAGGTTCAGGTTCATTAGACATTCTTGTAATAAGCCCCCTTTTGTGTAAAGTTTGGAAAAGAAGTCTGGAACATGTTCCTGAACTATTGGGTCACATACATTAAACCACATTTTAGGGCCTGCATTTATCAACTATCAATACTTTTCTAACATGTCAAGAACATGGACCCTATAATATGGGGTTACATTAAAGACAAAACCAATTGCTGTATATCAACATCTGGACATTTATTTCTGAAAATAATGGCCTAATAGTTCAACTATATTGTGAATCATACAAATGTATCTAATACAAGCATTATGGTAGTAAACTCAGGTGACCTAAACAATCTAGAACATATATCAGAACTATTGGGTCACACGTGCCAAACCACATTATAGGGTCTACATTTACTAACTACCAATACATTTTTAACATCTCAAGAACATGGACCCTATAATATGGAGTTACATTTAAGACCAAGCTATTGCTGTGCATCAACATGTGGACATTTTTTCTGAAAATAATGTCCTAATAGTTAAACAATATTGTGACTAATACGAATGTATTAAATGCATTACCATTGCTAAGATCCTCAGTGAGTGATTTATTGGTGGTCCTAGAATCATGAATATCTTTCTCTGTGTAGAGCTCAGGCTTTTCTGTGCAGGTTGCTGATACATATCTTAGGTTGTCCTCACCGATGCTGAAAACACCTTGGTCACTCTGTGTTTCACCAGTTATCATTTCTACAATACATAACCATATCTTAGATACAGATATCCTGTCAGCAGGGTAAAAACATGAGATCTCTATTTTCCTAAAAACTCTGTTCAGGCATATAGAATCAGGTTCATTAGACATTCTTGTTATAAGCCCCCTCTTGTGTAAACTTTGGCCATCAAAAAAGTCTACAGCATATATCAGAACTATTGGGTCACACGTACCAAACTGCATTATAGGGTCTACATTTATCAAGTACCAATACCTTTTTAAATGTCAAGAACCTGGACCCTATAATATGGGGTTACGTTAAAGACAAAACCAATGCTGTATATCAACATGTGGGCTTTTTTCGGAAAATAATGGCCTAATAGTTCAACAATATTGTGAATCATACAAATGTATCAAATACAAGCATTATGGTAGTAAACTCAGGTGACCTAAAGAGTCTAGAACATGTATCTGAACTATTGGGTCACACGTGCCAAACCACATTATAGGGTCTACATTTACCAACTACCAATACATTTTTAACATCTCAAGAACATGGACCCTATAATTTGGAGTTACATTTAAGACCAAGCAATTGCTGTACATCAACATGTGGAGATTTTTTTCTGAAAATAATGTCCTAATAGTTAAACAATATTGTGACTAATACGAATGTATTAAATACATTACCATTGCTAAGATCCTCAGTGAGTGATTCATTGGTGGTCCTAGAATCATGAATATCTTTCTCTGTGTAGAGCTCAGGCTTTTCTGTGCAGGTTGCTGATACACATAGTAGGTTGTCCTCACCGATGCTGAAAACACCTTGGTCACCCTGTGTTTTACCACTTATCATTTCTACAATACATAACCATATCTTAGATACAGATATACTGTCAGCAGCGTAAAACAAAATAAGATCTCTATTTTCCTCCACACCCTGATTACACAAATAGGTTCAGGTTTATTAGACATTCTTGTAATAAGCCCCCTTTTGTGTAAAGTTTGGAAAAGAAGTCTGGAACATGTTCCTGAACTATTGGGTCACATACATTAAACCACATTTTAGGGCCTGCATTTATCAACTATCAATACTTTTCTAACATGTCAAGAACATGGACCCTATAATATGGGGTTACATTAAAGACAAAACCAATTGCTGTATATCAACATCTGGACATTTATTTCTGAAAATAATGGCCTAATAGTTCAACTATATTGTGAATCATACAAATGTATCTAATACAAGCATTATGGTAGTAAACTCAGGTGACCTAAACAATCTAGAACATATATCAGAACTATTGGGTCACACGTGCCAAACCACATTATAGGGTCTACATTTACTAACTACCAATACATTTTTAACATCTCAAGAACATGGACCCTATAATATGGAGTTACATTTAAGACCAAGCTATTGCTGTGCATCAACATGTGGACATTTTTTCTGAAAATAATGTCCTAATAGTTAAACAATATTGTGACTAATACGAATGTATTAAATACATTACCATTGCTAAGATCCTCAGTGAGTGATTTATTGGTGGTCCTAGAATCATGAATATCTTTCTCTGTGTAGAGCTCAGGCTTTTCTGTGCAGGTTGCTGATACATATCTTAGGTTGTCCTCACCGATGCTGAAAACACCTTGGTCACTCTGTGTTTCATCAGTTATCATTTCTACAATACATAACCATATCTTAGATACAGATATCCTGTCAGCAGGGTAAAAACATGAGATCTCTATTTTCCTAAAAACTCTGTTCAGGCATATAGAATCAGGTTCATTAGACATTCTTGTTATAAGCCCCCTCTTGTGTAAACTTTGGCCATCAAAAAAGTCTACAGCATATATCAGAACTATTGGGTCACACGTACCAAACTGCATTATAGGGTCTACATTTATCAAGTACCAATACCTTTTTAAATGTCAAGAACCTGGACCCTATAATATGGGGTTACGTTAAAGACAAAACCAATGCTGTATATCAACATGTGGGCTTTTTTCGGAAAATAATGGCCTAATAGTTCAACAATATTGTGAATCACACAAATGTATCAAATACAAGCATTATGGTAGTAAACTCAGGTGACCTAAAGAGTCTAGAACATGTATCTGAACTATTGGGTCACACGTGCCAAACCACATTATAGGGTCTACATTTACCAACTACCAATACATTTTTAACATCTCAAGAACATGGACCCTATAATTTGGAGTTACATTTAAGACCAAGCAATTGCTGTACATCAACATGTGGACATTTTTTTCTGAAAATAAGGTCCTAATAGTTAAACAATATTGTGACTAATACGAATGTATTAAATACATTACCATTGCTAAGATCCTCAGTGAGTGATTCATTGGTGGTCCTAGAATCATGAATATCTTTCTCTGTGTAGAGCTCAGGCTTTTCTGTGCAGGTTGCTGATACACATAGTAGGTTGTCCTCACCGATGCTGAAAACACCTTGGTCACCCTGTGTTTTACCACTTATCATTTCTACAATACATAACCATATCTTAGATACAGATATACTGTCAGCAGCGTAAAACAAAATAAGATCTCTATTTTCCTCCACACCCTGATTACACAAATAGGTTCAGGTTCATTAGACATTCTTGTAATAAGCCCCCTTTTGTGTAAAGTTTGGAAAAGAAGTCTGGAACATGTTCCTGAACTATTGGGTCACATACATTAAACCACATTTTAGGGCCTGCATTTATCAACTATCAATACTTTTCTAACATGTCAAGAACATGGACCCTATAATATGGGGTTACATTAAAGACAAAACCAATTGCTGTATATCAACATCTGGACATTTATTTCTGAAAATAATGGCCTAATAGTTCAACTATATTGTGAATCATGCAAATGTATCTAATACAAGCATTATGGTAGTAAACTCAGGTGACCTAAACAATCTAGAACATATATCAGAACTATTGGGTCACACGTGCCAAACCACATTATAGGGTCTACATTTACTAACTACCAATACATTTTTAACATCTCAAGAACATGGACCCTATAATATGGAGTTACATTTAAGACCAAGCTATTGCTGTGCATCAACATGTGGACATTTTTTCTGAAAATAATGTCCTAATAGTTAAACAATATTGTGACTAATACGAATGTATTAAATACATTACCATTGCTAAGATCCTCAGTGAGTGATTTATTGGTGGTTCTAGAATCATGAATATCTTTCTCTGTGTAGAGCTCAGGCTTTTCTGTGCAGGTTGCTGATACATATCTTAGGTTGTCCTCACCGATGCTGAAAACACCTTGGTCACTCTGTGTTTCACCAGTTATCATTTCTACAATACATAACCATATCTTAGATACAGATATCCTGTCAGCAGGGTAAAAACATGAGATCTCTATTTTCCTAAAAACTCTGTTCAGGCATATAGAATCAGGTTCATTAGACATTCTTGTTATAAGCCCCCTCTTGTGTAAACTTTGGCCATCAAAAAAGTCTACAGCATATAT